GCTTCCGGTCTGTTGGCAACTTCCGTTGAATCTCTTGCCGGCCGCAGCGTAAAATGCACATAATACGTGTAAAAATGTGGGGACAGGGCTACGAGCGGTTGAACGATCAGCTCTCGCCCCAATTCCGATCGAGCGGTGGTCCAGGGATCCGATTAATGGATGCGGGTTGATTCAATATAAGTCCGATGCAATCGGAGCGCGGCGCCGAATCGTTACGAGTCTTCGCGGCTTCGTTCTTCTTCGTTGATTCTTCCGTTTCGTCCATCTCTCGCTCTTTCCATTTTTCTCTTTCTCCTGTTCTCCTTTTTTGGCCAATCTTCAAAGTATCTGGACGCACGCAGGGAGGTTCTGTTCTTCTGGCAGGTTCCACGTAATCCGGATTAGAAAATACGAAAACACCGAAAGCGTTTTAACATGGTTCCCGCAGGAGCTGTTCTTCCCACTTCCCACTTGGGAAGCCCCCTGCCTCGTGTCATCTCCGTGTTCCAGCGCATGTGAACCTAATTGCTACCTAATTCGAAGATAAGGGTCACCCGCTCGATTCCAGCAACCTGGACCATCGTCCGCTCAGCTGACAGAGCCCATATATCCAAGGATGGTCCAGAGGTCCTTCGATTCCTTAATAGAATTTACGGCTAGGAGGCATTTGGATGACTGTGTCGAATGCGTCCAGCATTCTCAATAGAACGAAGAGAGGGGAATTTGCGAAAGACGCGAAATTTATCGGCATCGGATTAAACCTGAGTAGCTACGGAGACGTTGGTCGGATGGTCGGATGGCCGGATGGTCGGTCGGAGAGCCACAGCCAGGTAGAGGAAGACGAGTCCATTGAATCGCGACGACTTTAGGAAAAAGAAGTGAGTTTGAAGTTTGTAAACAGAACTGGCGCGATGTGTACACGGTAGGATGGTCGAACCATTATTTTAGACCGAAAAATGTTCCCTATCTGCTTATGGAATCAGCTGCCACCCCTGAGTGGCTGCTCTCTTCCATGTGCCTTCTTCTCGCAGGTCCGACTAAACACAGGACCCACGCGGGGCCCGAGCTGAGCTGCTCACCTGCCGCGGACAAGGGTGCTTGGGAAATCCTGGCAATCGGCAAACAGAGCTTCGCTCACTTTTTTCCCTTAACTTTTGAAACAGCAGCCCTTTACTCTGCTTCAGTTTCTCTTGTTGCTGCGAGTGTTCCTTGAATTTTTTAAAACTATCAAGATGATGTTTCCTCGTGCTTCCCTCTGCTCTCGTAGACATCGGACGCGCGTGCACGGAACGAAAGAGAGGAGGGCTCTAAGAAGTAGATGCGAATGCCGAATGACCTGGCGAAATATCTCGTGGTTTGGGAAGAGCTTGTGAAGAAAAGAAATGATTCGGCTCGGGTCGAGGAGTCTCTCAATCGAGTCAAAGGCAACGCGACCAACAACGTATAGTAATGGGGAAAGGAGAAGAGACAAGAGACGAATACATGCCGAGCGCTCGGAACGCTTTTAAAAATTCTAATAATATTGTCCGGCTTTTGTAAGATGACGACGGCAATCGGATCGCATCGGGACACAGAAGCTTCACGAAAATAGACCGAGAAATCTTTGATCTTTTGGCTCGATTCTCTGTTTTCCACTGACCGCCGCGTTTTCCAATGACGTATCGAGTAGCCGATTAACCCGGTGCAAAAAGCACCGGAATTCTCTGGAACTTGGTTCGTCCGACCTGACCCGTTCACGGGGTGACCCTCGAGGATGGACCTGAGAAGTGCCACCCTGGCGCTGTCTGCATAATCTACAATTTAATAACGCGATAAATATCAGCAGTTGCGACCAGTAGATCGTTATCATTGCCATTCGCCGCGCTAATTTCTCCCTAACTTTATCGACACCACTTTTCGCCGTATGCTCGATAAAATCAACGATAACATCGAGCATAACGCCGAGAGAACCCCATAATAAAATGAGATTATGAGGATCCCCTTAGCGACGCCATAGAAGCTGGACGAGCGGCGCTGCCCACCCCACGTCCCTGCTCTCATGTAAAACTACGCGTTACGCTATACAACTTGCACAGAAATCCAATAAGACTGATCCTGTTTCGGAGGCGCGTCGCTCTTCTCATTGACTGTCAGTCGTCGTTCATTCTAATGTTTAACGTAGCTTCGTTCGACGATACGTTCAGCCTCATGGGGCTTCTCAAAGATCTATCTCGAAGACATTCAAAATGAGATACAGAGAGTGAAATCACAAGAGCTAAGGATTCGCGTAATTTGATTTCGAGTGTTGAGTCGGCTTGAAACTTGAACTTTTTAAATAAAATCCTACCGTAGGAGCTAGAGGAGCCAGGAGCGCACTGATGCATGGAAAAGGCGTTCGATGGCACCACGCTGCTTACGGATCTCAATGATGCTGTTTACAGTCACTGAGAAGCTGTGCGGTCCAAGCGGGCATAGAGAGAGAGAGAGAGGGGGAGAGAGAGAGAGAGAGAGAGAGGGAGAGAGAATTTGATAGGCAAGAGGTGCCAGGGAAATTAACCAAGGGATCCTTAAATTCCAAGTTTACGTTAATTTATGTATCGGACGCTGAATAAAATTCGCTCTGCAGTCTTCCTCCGGAGCTCCAATGAGCCTGGGACCTATTCCCGTCGTTCGGTTTAACGAGGCACGTTGTCCAAACCGTCCATAAATACGAATGCAGATCCCGCGCAGTCGGGACCATTGTGGATCCCAAGTATATTACAAGATTAGCATAGCGAACGATGCGCTGCGCACCTCTGGCTAGGATCCTCTACACTGTTCAAGAAAAACGGGATTTATGTGTACTGAAAAAAACTGCTCTTAAAATTAATATCATTTGATGATCGTTAATGGTAGCCCGACCATGTGGCGAGGCCAATAATGTGGTGTACTTGCACAAATTTAACATCAAATTGTGCGATGAATCACGCTGATCCTCAATTATGTTGTTTTCCTTAGAAGCCTGCACATTTCTGCTAGCTACAAGTGCTAGTACGCCTGTTGCGTTAAAAGGATTACACCCTGTCTGGTGTCATACTTTTCCGTGTTAATCGATAACACTGACTCTCCGACAGCGCTCTTTTTCACTGACGATTTACACCAGAGTAATGGACCAATTGCGACAAGGCAATTGAAATAGGGTTTTTACTTTTAACACCGTCTTTCCTCCAGTACAGGCACCCGCCTGATAGCCAGATAGCCTGATAGTCTGATAGCCTGATAGCACCATAGAGTCAGTCAACTCCCCAGAATTAGTTTCAGAGCTCTGGCCGAATGAGCATCCCTCGATAAGTTAGAAATTTTAATCAAAATAATTCCCCGAAGAAAATTGTGCTCAGTGTGCTTGCTTGTGGGGCCCCTTCTCATTCTGGGGGCCTCATGTACCAACACGGATAAATTTACTGCGAGATCTTCGGGAGGATAAGACATACCTGGGGGACACCGACACTTTTGGGGTTATGGGCCCAGGACGATTCAACGAGTGACTTCTACCGCTTGTGCCTCTTCCACCTCTTCCACCTCTTCCACCAACGTCACGGACGCATCTAACGTTTCTACCGTTTCTACCGTCTCTTTACAACTACACGCATCTCAAAGATTCGTTCTTCGTTGACTCGCCCCTTTGCGCCGTCCTGCAGCATCCGAAGACGAAGATCACGGGGGATCGCGATCGCGTTCCTCTGAAATAACTCTTTGGTTAACATGTCTAACGGGAGACCCCCAGTACTTTCCACCAACGAACAGATTTATCGTCAGGATATGGGCTGGTTTGGGATTAGAGAGGACCCTCCTTCTTGGCTTCTATTTCTTCTTCTTCTTCTCCTCTGCCCCTCGGTATCCCCCC